GTACAGGTGTTGTTAACATCTGACTGGGATTTCAGAGCACACCTGTCACAGGATAAAAAGCCCCACTACTGAGCAGATCCCTCTGAGCACTCAAATTCTTCTTGCCCAGCAGGGCTGGCCTGTCCTGACCATGTTGATGGAAAAGTAGGTATTGTAACACTGGTATTAAACAGTGCAACCTGTCAGGGAAATTGCTACAAATTATTAATGAAGCCATAAATTAAAAGATGCTGTTTGAGGAATCAGCCTGCTCTCTAATAAAGTAGGTGGAAGTAGGTTGCAGTGGAGGGGAGTGGAAGACTTTTCAAGTGTGAGATTGTAAGAGTTTACAAGATACCAATTAATTAGCCAATAATTTGCTAGCCTGCTGCCCTAATTTGTTTAAGTTGTATAACTGATTTTCAGTTGTGCATGTGCCCTTCTGAAATCTTTTCCTCACAGTGGTTTCTGAGGTTTCTGGGGTTTCTGAGGTGACTGACCCTCTCTTGCAGGAGGACGCTGCAGCTGGCTCGGCAGCTGAAGGACAGAGCTGTGGAAGCGCAGGCCTGCTACAGCCTGGGGAACACCTACACTCTGCTCCAGGACTATGAGAAAGCAATTGATTATCATCTGAAACACCTTGTGATTGCTCAGGAACTACACGACAAGTAAGTCCTAAGAGATTGTTTAATGTGTGACACTCGGAGCAAATCCTGTTACCTTCAACTCTACTGTCATTGTTCCCCATGTGACAGCTGCATTAATGTGAATTCCCTCAATGCTGGGCTTTGGTTTTCATATGGAAAATAAAAATTACTCATAATGGTATTTCAGCTAATGAGTCTGAGATGAAAGACAAATTGATGAATGATTGTTTCTTCATCATCTTCTGTCAGCACGTCTGTGTAAATTAAGGAAAAGCAGATTTATCTTTCATGAGTTCATTATAATAACTCACCCTATTTTCGTAAGAATCTGTTTTCTACTTGTCTACAAGTTAATAATATAGGAAGGGATGGGGAAGGAGAATAACAACACAGCAGCAAGTAATGTTTATATTACAATCCTGATTTCTGAGGCCTTTTTTGTAATGTCAGGTGCAACCGTAATTTTTTTTGCAACATTTAAATGTACCTCTTCTTAAGTCAGTAAGAATACAGAGGACTAATAAGGCATGCAAACTGAGGAAAAGCAAAGTAAATTACACAGTGTTCCATGCTTACAAAACTAACTTGTTTGCTGTGAGCTTGAAATTAAAAAAAAATTATTAAATTTGTTCATATTTATTTATAACCACACTCCTTTAAATACAATAGTTAATGTGTTGGTGTTAGAATGGTCTCTGATGATTGCCTTCATTTTTTTTGGCCCAGCAAATTCCTTTGGCAGTGCTGTAAAAACCTGACCTCTGGTGTTCAGCAGGTAGAGGTGTAATTGCAAATGTGTGTTGTTTTCAGAATTGGGGAAGGAAGAGCGTGCTGGAGTTTAGGGAATGCTTATACTGCTCTGGGAAATCATGACCAAGCCATTCATTTTGCAGAAAAGCACTTGGAGATTTCAAGAGAGGTATGATTTTCATACTCCCACTATGTTGGCTATTGTTTTTTGCTGTCACTCACAGAGGTTTTATGGAGGTGTGTTCATGCATCTGATTTGGAGCGATGGAATGCATTTTGAATGATTCCAGAGTCAGCTGATTCCGTTATTTCAGCCGCCCTCTCACCGCAGTCAGCTCCTTAGTTCTAGTGTCACCACTCACAATGTCATCACAGACTCCAAATTAGTAGCCTAGCTGAGATTATTTTAGGCTTTGTTATGTTGCTTGTTCTTATTTCTTTAAAAATATGTTCTCAGTCTTCTACCAAGAAAACTTTTTCAGCCTTTTTCTCTCAGAAGTCTAAGGGACAAGGACTGCTGTACACTTAAACATAAGAGTATTTGTTAAGGTAATACAACTGCTTATTTTATTTGCTTGAAGGTAGGAGACAGAAGTGGAGAACTCACTGCCAGACTTAATCTCTCAGATCTTCAAATGGTTCTTGGATTAAGCTACAGCACAAACAACTCCATGATGGCAGAAAGCCACACTGTGGAAAACAGTTTGAATGGTATGTGCCCCTTTCTACAGTACAGTAGTACAGTACAGTACTTTCTACAGTACTTTTCCCAATAGAGAACTTCAAAAAGAATCTCTTCTTAAAATTCTTTACTGACCATGGTTACGTAAGTTTACTTGGATTTCTCCCCAGCAGCTAAAAAAGGTTCTTGTGGTATTGGACCTACAGCACCTCCTTTCCTGGAGGATTTATATTGTGAATCACAAATTACTGCTTGGTTTCTTCATGTGTTCTAATTGTGTCTGTGTCTTGGACCTTGAACTTTAGATGAGTACAGCCACAGCTTTGCAAGTGACACCATAATTTTAATAAGATGAATTTGTCTCTTGAAGGTGGTAGACCAAGAGGACGCCGTTACAGTATGGAGAATATGGAACTTATGAAATTAACACCAGAAAAGGTTGGCACTTTGCTTCTTTCTGTTCTGCTGCCGAGATTGCCGAGAGTGTGTTGATGTGCCATTTGCCTCCCTTTTCAATTTAGTTATCATAGGAGCTCCATAACAGCAGGTCTAACAATACTAACAAATAATATCTTGGTCATGTAGGTAACAGCGTATGCCAGGTGATGGCTGTAATGGCTTGTGGGAAGCTTGCTTTATTCCCTGCATAAATGAGAAAGAATGGGGCTCTGTAATGAGCATCAAAGGAATTCTTTCATCTCTGTAAGAGATGGGTTGAGGTTGCAGCATGAAAGTAATTCAGAATAAAATTCCTAAGCTTCAGCTTAGCTCTTCTGAACACTTTTTCTTTGGTTACAGTCATTTTATAGGCACTTAAAATGCATGCTGTGTTTTTCACTTTGAGATTTCAACCAAATTGCAAACCATCAGAAGCTTCAAGCTCCATGTTCCTGAAGAAGGATGCCATTTCAGAAATGTTACAGTTGGTCACAGGCAAAACAACTTCCCCCCCAAGCTCAGAAATCTCTTGGTAATGGGAGTTCCCAGTTAAAATCCTTGTGTCAGTCTATGAGAGATTTCCTTCACATTCTGCCTTTCAGCAGAGGGCTGGCAGTTCTGTGTAAATGACTACATTGGCAGGCTGAAATTGATATTTTTCCCCTCCACACTGAGATATCTAATTCCAGTCCCTTCAAGTGAGGCAAAGCCTGTCATGTTAATCAGTAAAATCTCAAAGCATGTGTACAGTCAGTACAGCTGAAGCCAGCACAGGTGCTGAAGAGCCTCTTTGGGTACTGCTTTAGAAACCGTATGTGTTTAGTCAAGGGCAAGGCCTCTGCAGGGAACCTTGTAAGCTTTTGGCCACTATCAGCTGGGTTTTCTTACTCTCTGAATCTTATTTATCTGTGAGCACTTTTAAAATATGTATACTCTAACAGTCTGTGCCCTAAATACAGTTGAATGTGTCCTGTAGATTTTTGGTGTTAATTTACTGTTGCAGTCTAGAGCTTAAAAAGAGCATTTTTCAAGGTACTTGTAGAGTAGAGTAACTTCCATAAATGTCTAATGTGCAGAACAATCCCTGACCTGAGCGCGAGGGTTTGATTGTACAGATTGTGCATCTTCTCAGAGTCTGTGTGCTGGTGTTCAGTAAAACGTTGAAAAGGGAAATCCACTGGGTAGGCAGTGGTGCTGGAAGATTTTTGACTGTGGTAGTGATTTCTGATGTTGAATCAGGAAAAATAAGAAGAGTTTTATTCAGTTAGAAGAGTCTGTCAGTTGTGGATAATTCTGTTTATTTTTGAGGAATTTTTAGGGAAAATCTATCAGGTTGTTAAAGTTATCGACTCTGTTGCTGAAAGGAGGTGGTTATTCCTGTTTGTTCTTGTGCTGGCATTTGTTTCCCTCTTTCTTTTCAGTCTTTATTGGGAAGTTTGTGTGTATCAAAACTTGAGGGGAGGCTAGTTGAGTAGTTGCATTTGTATAAGGGTTTGTTTTGCTCTAACACTTTGTAATATGGGGTGGGCTTTTAATTTCTTTTTCTTTCCAGTTTCAAAATGCCAGGTGGGAAATGCCAGCTGTGGCTGCAGTTCAGTACTTATATTAACTGCCTTTCCTGCTCTGCAGTCAGTATGGACAATTTCAGTGTGTTTGTTTTAATCCATCAGGTGTTAAAGCACAGTTCAGTTCTCAGACTGACCAGTAACAGCACTAACCTGCTAACAGCAGCTCAGCAATCAAAACCACATCCTTGTGGCTGCGTGAACAAAATAGTGTAAAGCTGCCGCATTTTGGTGAGGAAAAGCAGCAGCAAGTCAGAGGAAACAGTATTGGTAAATAAAATCAGAAGGCTTAATTTTCTGACTCTTGTTTTCTTAGGTTCCAAACTGGAACAGTGAGATTCTTGCTAAACAGAAACCACTGGTTGCCAAAACTTCAGCAAAACTTCATTTTGTACATCGACTAAAAGGCAAAAAGTACAAAAATGGCACCACCTCCAAAGTTTTGCAGGATGCCAGTAATTCCATTGATCATCGACTTTCAAACCCTCAGAGGGTAGGTGTGGTGAGCTGTGGAGATCATGGCCTTTACTCATCTTTGTGTGATCAGAATTGTGGAAAACACCTTCCTGAAGCTCTCTGTTCAGTTTAACTTAATTTAAACACTGTGGCTCTAAACTAAACTGGTGCAGAATCTGTCATTCTACAGCTCTCCCAGGGTGGTGCCAGCTTCAAGATCTTTCTACTACTGAAACATTTTATTTGTGGTGGATTTTTTTTAAGTTAGAAATCAAATGTATTTTCAAGCTGAGCTCTAAGTCTCTTATAGATCCCACTTACCCATGCTTAACAAAATCTAGTTTTTCTGTTTCAGGCAGTGGGAGATACTTTGGACATAATTTTTACGTTATTACACTCTCGAGAGAAGTCAGTTTGAAATAAAAGAAGAGAGTCATTTGGTCATAGACCTGAGGAGAAAATGGGAACTGTTCATTGCTTTTGTTTCTTTTTCCTCTCATGGGCATTTGGATTTTGTTGGATTAATGTCTGAGGAGGAATAACTCCCACTGTACCATGATCAGTGCACTATTTATTTCTTCCATTTCAGAGAATGGAACATTTCTAATATATTTCACTCTCCAAAATACTGCCCTAGCATTAGCATCTCCTCCTACGATAGATCTCTGGCTATAGAAATGGTTGACTAAAAAAATTAATAAATTTCAGATACGTAAATATCAAATATTATCACTGGACTGAAATTCTGATGCAGTTGTCCCAGCTGTAGGCCCTCTAAGGTCAAATACCCTAAATCTTGTCCTTTTCAGAAAAGCACTCGTGAGACAATGGCAGATGAAGGTTTCTTTGATCTGCTGAGTCGGTTCCAGAGTAACAGGATGGATGATCAGAGGTGCTGCTTCCAGGAGAAGAACAGACTCTCAGCTGCTTCAGTGGCAACATCCTCTACTCCACCTAAAACGATGATAAAATGTAATATTTTAAAAATAAAATCTGTATTTGACTTGAGTTTTTGCCAAATACTATTTTCAAAATGTATTTGCATGCAAGATTGACTACAGCAATGTATTCACTCCTAGGCTAACTTCCACTTGTTCTGTCTGTCCTGGGCAGCCTTTTCCACGTCCGCAGTGTCCCCGCACACAGACGAGTTCCTGGACCTGCTGGCGAGCTCGCAGAGCCGCCGGCTCGATGACCAGCGTGCCAGCTTCAGCGAGCTGCCCGGCCTGCGCCTCCGGCAGCACGGCAGCCAGGCTGTGCTGGGCCACCTCATGGCCAGCAGCAACAGGGACCTGGATGACGACTTCTTCGATATATTGATTAAATGCCAGGTAAGGGCTTAACAACAGCTTCCTCAGCTTCTGTCTCTAGGGATTTCATTTGTGCCTCCTGCTACTGAATTCCTGCAAGGAAGCCACTGTGTTTATCATGTGCTTTAAGATACACTCTGATCTGGCACGTAAGGAAGATCATAAGAGAGCAAAAGATTAGGGTTGAGGTTTTTTTTAATTTTCCAGTGTCTAGTAAGTGTAATTTTGGTATTTATACCACAGTAGCTATTATAAGTAAGAAATACTTAAAAAGTGAAGAAAAACAAGTGAGGCTATTACAAGGAGTAGGTTTTAAGTGTTTAGACCCAGTTTGCTAAGGGGGGGGGGCACCTGATACACCAGCAATCCTAATTCATCAACTGAAAGAATTCAGTATGCAGGTTTTGGTGATAATAGTAGTCATCATTCCCATGAGGTTAAGTTTAAATGATAGTTTATAGCAATATGCAAGTGAAGTGACTGATTTTCAATTAGAGCATGTGCATATACCAAATTAGACCAAAAAGAATTAAAAAGACTTGCTGGTTTGTCTGATGGGTTGATAAGCAGCCCAAAAAAACAAAGTTCAGATGCTGAGTTCTCCACACGTCAGTAAGTATGGTAGCCTGGGTGAGAAAGCAGCACCTGGAATTGAGTCTGCTGTAACAGTGTTCATCAGCCCACTGAAATACCATCTTCTGTTGTAGCAGCTTGTCTGTTTCCTTCTGTGAGTCAAGCAAAGAATCTAGAAATATTCTCTTTTAAGGAATGGAAAAATATTTAATCTCCTCTAATCCTTAGAGATGCTACTGCTTTAAACAAGCACAGAAGGGTTGCTGCCTTTGAGCCTTTTGGACTCAAGGGTGCCTGTCCCAGGTCCACCCACCACTGAAAGCTGTACTTTTCCTCCTGTGGAGGACACCCCTCCTCAGCTCAGGAGGCTGTGTGCAAGGAGCAGAGCCCAGCCCAGTAGGGTTTGTCACTCGCTCTGTAACTCTGGCCTTAAACTGTACCCAGCTGCACAGTGTGGAGGCAAGGGGCCTTCAAGGAGTGCCTTCCCACATCTCCCCCCACTGCAGCCATTTTTTAGTCCCTGTGTAAGGAAAGGAAGACAACCATACTTCCTGGTGTATGAGACCAGAAACACCCTCTACTAATGCTAAAAATTCTCCTTCTGAACTAAGGACACTTAAATCTCAGTTTGCAATATGTCAAAGAACTGAACTGGGGGGAGGGGGGGGTGTCATGTTCAGACACATGGGGACAAGTGGGTCACAGGAACCATTTTGGTTACACTTGAACTCTTAGTAATTTCATTTAGCTAGTTTAACTTAAAACTTATAAATTAAATCTCTCCACTAGCTTTAAATCTGATAGCAAAAGCTTGTAGTAGATTTTTCACTTAATATTGTTCATTTACTCCAGATCTTCCTGTAAATATGTAGCTCTTATTTCTTGGTCTGTCTGTAGGGTTCCAGACTGGATGATCAAAGGTGTGCTCCTCCAGGAGCTGCCAAAGGCCCCACTGTACCAGATGAGGATTTTTTCAGCCTGATTTTGCGCTCACAAGCGAAGAGAATGGATGAGCAGAGAGTCCACTTACCCTCAGCTATAAAGGGACCCAATTCCAGCTGAAGACTCCAGAGGCATGTACTGTACAGCAGCATCATAGGGATCATTCTTATTTGCTGGAAAAGCACACTTGCCTTTTTTAAGATGACTACAAATAGTAGCTTTGTCTCCTTTCTCCTAGTTTTTTTCACAGAAATAGCAGCAGCATCATACTCATGAGCAGTAGTTACAGAGCTGTCCCTGCTCTAGCAGTTGGTAGCTGCTTTCAGAGCAGTGTCTGAGGTACTGGTACTGTGTCTCACTCTTAATTGCCTCTAGTCTATCAAAATGATTATGATTTTTTTTCTCTGTCAATTCTCTCATTGCTCACGAGTGGATTTTATCACTGTCTCAATCTAGTGTAAGACTTAAATTTTTATGTTCTTTTTAAAGAAAACTTGATTTTTTCCCGTGATTTGTATCTCTTGAAAAAAAAGTTCTGTTTTCTTTTATACATTTTTTTAAAAAATAATTTAAAGAAAAATGAGAAATAGCTTCAGTATGTAGACTCTTTTCAGAAACACAGTTTGGAAGAAACAATCATTTCTACGAAAAAAAAAAATTAAACCCTAGTTTTAATTCTGTTTAATAAAAAATGTTTTTTCAAACATGATGGCTTTTTTGTAATACTTAATTGTTTCCTACATTAATTTAGAACAGTTTTGCAATCAGCAGTTTTCAAGAAATACTTAGTTTCAAGAAACAGCTGCTCATGCTGCTCTACAGCTTGTGTGGTATGTGCCCACACGCCAGGAATCACAGGGGTGGTGGGCACTGGGCACCAACTCCCACGGGCCTGGAGCAGTTTGTGCAGCACCCCAATTTCCAGTGTCACACACAGGAAATTCACAGGTGCTGCTTCCTGTACCTGACCTCAGCTCCTCTCCTGCTCTGGCTAAGGATGAACTGGGCTGGGGGAGTCCTGGGGAACAACCACTGGAATGTCCATCGCCATGGTCGCTCCTGGTCCTGTTCAGCTTTGAACTGCCTCCAAACCGCCTGCTACAACATCAGATTCTTACTCTCTGCAAATCATTACACCAGGAGGAACTCCATAAGCTATCCTAAAAGTGAGCTGACAAGAAGCAAACTGATTTTAAAGAACACAAACCCAAAGACAGATCTGAGACATCTGAGCTGGGAATTAGTGTTACAGGAATTACTCAGAACTTATTACACAAACCTGATTTCCAACAAGCAGCAACACTGCAGAAGCCTGGGGGTTTTTTGGCCATTTAAAGGTATATCATCTTACTTAACACCTTTATTTCAGATTCCAGACAGAGTGCATGTATCCTCTCTCTTAGATTTTACAACCCCACCTAAGAGCTTACTGATGTTCTCTCTTCTACACTTGAGAACAAGAGCAGAATTAGCAAGTAGATGACAAGTAAAGATTAGACAAAACTTACAGCAGAGCCTGGATCTTCCTTAGTCTCTTTCCTGGGAGTCATGTAAAACACTCTTTTTCTTCTCTTCACATGGTTCCACAGCAGAACTTTTCCCTTGTAGGTTTTTATTAGGGTCAGAGTTTTCTCCAGTCTCTCCCTCTGCTTGGCCTGTCTCCTGTTTTTGCTGCTCAAGTGCAGCTTCTTCAGTAAGGTTTTCAGCTTTGAGAGTTTCAAGTCTATGAACTTCAGATTCAGTATACAACCTGTTCTGCAAAAAATTTATAATAACCTATTAATTAAGCTATCAAAAGTGACAGCATCTATTGTTTTAAGTGCATCCCAGCTCAAGGGGCAGGGCTCACCCAAAGCATGACAAGGGTATTTTTTTTCCCTTGGGAAACAGAACATGTAAATAAGACCAATACAGAGTATAAATTTTGGATTTTCTGTAGTTTGCAAGGAAGTCAGCACTGCTTTTTTCCTCCACATTTCTTCTGTGGGTCACCATGACTGCCCAGGCTGACATACACACTGATCTCTCAAAACTGAAGTTTCTTTATAAAGAGTTTAAATTCAGTAGTTTCCTGCCACAGTTAGCCATTGCAAGATATTTTTCCAGAAGGAACACATCCAGGACCCCTCTATCCAACTGTTCCATAGGGGAACGTGTACTTCCTCAGCAGCTCTCTCCCCCAGATCTGGGTAACGTGTGTTGTTTAAATGTGTTCTAGCAGGTGCCACTGCAATCTGCTCAGTTTAATGCCAGCTCCCAGAGCACCAGGAGACACATCAGGCTCTGGTCCCTGTGGGACTGTGGTTACCTGTGCATCCAGCTCGTCGCTGGCATGCGCCGTGTCCGGGCTCCTGCTGCCATTTCCCGCTCTCACCATGGGGAGAGGCCGTGTGGAGGCGTCCCCTCTGTCCTGGTGGCCTCTGGGGATATACAGATGCTTCTGCACATAATACTCGTCTGCTGTCCTCCCATCGTACTGCCCAAAGGCTATTTGCTCCTGCTCACTGGCAGGCAGAGGAAGACTTTTCTTCTGAGAAGACGTTAAGTGTCTAAATGCAGACACCGATGATCCTGCACCATAGCAAAAAGCCTGGGGGAGAGGAAAAAAACCCAAACTGAGCAAAACACCAAACATCTGAAGCCTATAGTTTTTACACAGATTTCTTGTCATACATCTGAAAGACCCTGAAGGAAAAGCTCAGGTGAAGAGAATGGCTCCAGCTCAAGCTTTCTGCAGTCTGACCATGCTGGAACTGCCAGGCTCGTGCAGTTGGTGCTACATTAAAGATGTTTAAGGCTCTAAATGCTTTTGTGTTAAAGGCTAACTACATGCATCAAAATGTAATGACTCAAAGAAGAAATGAAAACTAAGATGCCATAAACTGTCAGGGGTCTAAGATTTTAAGCAGTTTACTATTTAAAAAATAAAACTGAGCTTTTAAATGTAAGATGAATGTATACAAACCAGGACACCCAGAGCCATCATAATGAGCACTGGAACCTGCAGAATTAACGGTATCTCCTTCATAAGTGCCTTGATGAATTCACCAATACCTTGTCCTACATGCTTCAAAGGTTCAGTTACGAAGTTGGTGAAAGTTATTGCCAAGGCCTAGAAAAATAAACAGAAAACCAGTGTTGTCACACAAACAACAACCATAAACAGTCCCTTTGGGCTTGGTACATACCTTTGTTGGTGGAACCAGCAAAATAGGATTTACAAGCAGAGTTTCATAATACTTCTGACAGGGATCATCCTGAAACGTCCATGTACTTCTAAGCCATTCTGAAATGAAAGCAGAGGCATATTTTTACTACTACTTAAAAATGTATTTTGTGACACAGCAGCAATACAGAAGTAAGCATTTCAGTTACAGATGGAAGAGAACTCTTCCAGATATAGTTCAAAACTGAGATTTATTTTTACACATCTGAGATTGGTTTGGCAGTATAGCTTATCCAGTCAAGGGGATGCAGGAAGAGGGGAGAAGGCTGGAAAGAAAGAGAAGAACCTGAAGTTTTCCCATGCATAATCAAGAAAGCTCTTTAGGTGAGATCAGTCCCCAGAAGCCTCAGGGGAAAAAGTCTCATCTGTGGAAACTATGAACTTGCATACTGTGTTCACAGCTACTACTGACAGTGTCATTCCATGTTATTGCTCATCTGCCAGTCTGCAGGGAGATTGAAATCATCTGCTTGCTAGACTGAAGGTCTGTTTTAATTATAAGCAGGGAGTCTTACTTCTTAAGTGAACTTTTACATTATAAACAAGTGATTGATGATACCAAAGTTTCTGTAGTTTGGTTTTACTGCAGTCAGAACATAAATCATTGACATGTATCAAAACCAGAAGAGTCAAGAAATTACACAAGGAAGACCGTAACAAGCACTCTTTAAGAACTGCCACCTTTCATCTACCTGCTATAGCAGTGGATAGAAACAACAGCTAATAAAAAATCAGCTGTCTCTGTAAAATAGTAACACCTGAATAAACAATTACAGATCCAATTCCTGAAATCCACTGTACTCACAGGCTCGATACATGAAAAAAAAATCCTTGTCCTGAACTTTGCCTACCTGTCTTTAGTAAATGGCACTGAATGTTACTGGGGACAGTGGCTGGGGAAACACAGATCAGTTACAAGTAGTAACACCATGACATAACCCAAGTACATTGCTGTGATCAGCTCTCCTCCCAAGGCCTAGAAAACAAAGTCTTATGGGATGGAAAAAGGGTAAAACCACATAATCATGTATTGAAGAAAATTCCCTGTCTTTTGAAGAAATCTGAGTATCCTGGGTTGCTATCAATCAGTAATTTGTGATCATAACTACTACTGCAAAGTACCAAGGTAAGAACTCACCAATGAGACTTCCCCGCCAGTCCAGCTTCTCTGCACAGACGTTGTCGAACTGCCCCATCTTGGCGATCTCTGCCTGGTGCTGAGCGAAGGCCAGCTGCAGGGACAGCAGGGGGGAAACACGGACTGAGGTGGCTGCAGCCAGGCACGCTGCTCCTCAGCTAGCCATTCCTGCTCTCAGCAGCCTTGAGGCTGTTATGTTCCCCACATAAATGACAATTTCCCCACTGTCCACTTGTAATGACAATTCCCCATGTAATACGTATTTAATAAAGTTTACTACCTAAACAATTTAATGGAGTTAAATTCTAAGAACTTCCTAGGAATGGACAAAACTCCTGAGATAACTTGGCTACCTCCAAGTTATTCTCCAAAAGGAGTTTGAATTGCCAAAGGACCAGACTCCAATATTCAAAGATACGAGTTCAAGGCAAAAGTAAATTGATGAAACATTCCTTAAAATGTTACTGGAATAGAGAGACAGCTGTCATACAATTACTAGTTAAAACACCCTCTTTTGTTTTCAAATAACTCCCGTAAGAAATACTTACATTTATTATAGTTTTTCCTTACAGTTTGAAACTGATAATCAAAAAAAATAATTCAGTCAAATCACCTGTTGCAAAACTGACATTCTTCACTGCCTCAACCCAAGCCATCTGCATGGCATGCCACCCACACGCCAGAGCCTCCACTCTCCAGCCATCTGCTATCCCTGGGTCTGACAAGCTGCAGTTCAATCCTGATTGACAAGATGTGAAGGCAGATTTTGTGGCTGGGCTTTGATCTGGTAGTTTAAATTCCTCCTCAATTAAACTGATCCTATTGTAACATCAGCCACTTAATTATCATTAATGAGGCATTTATCTGGTCTATCACATCAAACACAGTTTCTACCAGGCAATCTTAAGAAAAAGACTCAATATATTTTTGTATAACTTTTCTACAAAGCTGCTCTAGTCAGAGGTCACATCGGCCTTGCCCACCTAGTGAAATCAGAGTTCTAGTGCTCTATGAATTTTGTGCACCTCAACAGCAAGGTAAGGTTGTCAGGGTTTCTTTTGATCTTTACACCTAACACACCCATCAACATGCAAAAGAAAATGTTTATCCCTTTCTTTATTTTGCAGTTAATTAAAAGCTGTATGTAAACTAACCAAAGGAACTAAACAAATCCCTCATAACTGTAAAGTTCTAAGCCAGAAAGCCATTAAGATTACAGAACTTACCTTATACAAGTAAAGCCAATTCCATGCAAAACTGATGAAAAAACTTATTAATAAAACACGTTTTAGCTGAACAAACCAAAGAACACATGTCCAGAGTTCTGTAGCTATTACAATTACAATGCACACTAAGCACAAGAGTAGCTGAAAAAAAAAAACAAAAGAGGAAAAAATTATGATCCACATTTGGAACTTTCCAAGCTTACTGACAGTACACATGAAGAAGCTTCCAACTTTTGTTTTTACTAATGTCATTTACACAGAATAGCTGAGAAGCTTTTCATTGCTTCCACAGCCCATCTGAGCAGCACAAGGCAAAACAGTTTTGTGGCAGTACTAATATTTCTTCTTGTAAACAGCCTTACATTGCAGTTGCTCATTTGTTTCTTGCAATATTATTTCTTCCTTAGGATGTTTGTTAAATTAGCAACCACACTTCTAAATTATCCAATTGGTGTCAGTCAGTCAGTGCTTGAGCAGTTTGTGCCTGCTATGAACCACAGAACAACTGCTGCCAACTCCTGCACTTTGGTAAAGAGACAAAGTTGCAGTTTGGGTACCAGCAGCAAGACTTCAGAGAAACATTTCACAATGGTTTTCCACCTATCAGAGGTTACTGACAGCCTGCTTTTGTCATCTGGCTTCCAGGGACCCCTCAAATCTAGACAAGCTACTTACAAGAACAAGTCAGTATAAAACATTGGCATCTTCTGAACTGCAAAGATTTATTCAGAAAACTTCAGATTATTAGAGAGCCTCATCTTAGCACTTTACAATTCCCATAGCCACTCTCTCCTCTCCAACACTACACAATTTTTTCCACAAAATTTGAAAAAGGCTCTGACCTATAGGAGTTCAAATATATACTTGTCTCAATAAAAATATATTTGAATTCTCGGAGAAGCCAACAGCTTCAACAACTACATGAACAAGAGACAAACCTGGAAGAGCCATAATGCATGAGGTGTCAGTTCTAGTAGTAATTAAGTGCTAGAGTATAATGAGTCTGGCAGCATAGATATAAAAGCAAAAAAAAGCACACCATAAAACCCCAATCCAAAGCTACAGATGACCATGAGGAATAAATGAGGAATAAGAACAGATGACTACAGGAATAAAAAACCAATTCCATCTTAAAGCAAGTAACATCCTTCAGCAACCACAAAAAGAAAAGTGACTCACTGAAAGTATGATGGAAAGATCTGCTTTATCTATAGAGTTAAGATGGTACTATTAATTGACTAGCACAGAGAAACTGAAGAAAACAGCAATTAAAACCAATAATCAGTCTTTATTTTCTTACCAAAAACAAATTATATAGATCAATTCCAAAGGCATCTTCAAATCTCCACTGCCAAGCTTGATCATCATGGCGTTTAAAATTGATCAAAATATCACTCAGTGCCTCATCCAGGGCACCTGGCTGCCAGGTTTCTTCATTAACAAACCTGAGGATCTCCAAATATGTCTGTCTTGTAAGAATGATCTCAGCATCATAATGGACATGGCCCATGTTTTCCTCAGGCTGAAATCAAAGCAAAGCAAAACAATGGTTAAAAGCTGCTTATCTGGAAATAGAAATGCATCCATAGGCCAAAGCCTGATCATACTCATTCTGTACCAGCACCCTTCTTAAGCAGACTGCAGGATAAAACCATGGGACAGGGGGCACACTATGATTCTATAACCTTTCCGTTCATCTAAACTACGTGGTTTGTAGTCCTTCAATTCTACAGAAAAAACCCTAAAAAATAAAGTGAATTATCTCACCTATTACTAGGATTTCAGAACCAGTGCTCATTAACAAGTAAAAATTACATCTACACTATGTGTAACTCTGTCACAGCTGGAGAACACAGATGTAAACTATTAAATACTAAAATAAGAAGTTTTACATTGCTAAATATAATGTTCCTTATTTAACAATAATTTTGCTTATTACTAAAAATCAATTCTTCTACCTTTGAATAAACAAAATCTCCAAAGACAATATAAAAAAGTGCTCAGCCAACAACTAAAGTATCATGCAGCCACTCACTCCCTCCAATATCCCTCCTCGTGCAGAGGAGAATGAGAAAAAAGGTAAACCTCACGAGCTGAGACAAGAACAGCAAACAAAATAAAATGTGATGGCAATAATACTACTAGTCATGAAAAGAGGAAAAGAAGGAAATAAAACCCAGAAGAACAAGTGGTGCACAATGCAACTGCTCCCTGAGCTGACCAGCGCCAGGCCTGTCCTCCAGCAGCGATTGGCTCCTCCTGGCCAACTCCCCCAGTTCATCCTGAGCACAGCAGCCATGGTTTGCAATGTCCCTGTGGCCAGCTCAGCTCAGCTGTCCTGGCCACGCTCCCTCACAGCTCCTCCTGCACCTCCTCACTGGCACGAGGCAAGGAGAAGTCCTTGACTTGGGAAAAGCATTACTGAGGAGAGCAGCAACTAAAACACCAGTGTGTTATCAACAGCGCTCTCACACTGATTCCAAAACACAGCACTGCACCAGCTACCAGGATGGAAATTCACTCTACACCAGCTGAAACCACTGCACAAAGAAAGCAGTAAGTGATTCTTAAATAGAAACTCTAATAAGCTACTATTGCTTGATGGTTAGAGTCACAGAATGGTTTGGGTTGGAAGGGACCTTAAAGGAAATCTAGTTCCAACCCTCATGGTCAGGGACACCTCCCACTACACCACATTGCTCAAAGCCCCATCCAGCCTGGCCTTGAATGCTTCCAGGGATAGGGCATCCACAACTTCTCTGGACAACTTCTTCCAGTGCCTCAAAACCCTCAGAACAAGGAATTTTTCTCAATATCTAGTCTAAACCTCCTCTCTTTCAGTTTAAAGCCATTCCCCCTTGTCCCAGCACTGCACACCCCTGTAAAAGGTCCCTCTTATAGGCCCAGCTTTAGGTACTCAAAGAGTCTCTAAGGCCTCTGCAGAGCCCTTTCTTTTCCAGGCTGAACAGCCCCAGTTCTCTCAGCCTGTTTTTGTAGGAGAGATGCTCCAGCCCTCTGATCATCTCACTGGCCTCCTCTGGTCTTGCTGCAACAGGTCCATGTTCTTCTCTACACTGGGGACCCCAAAGCTGGAATGCAGCACTGCAGGCTGGGTCTCACCAGAGCAGAGGGGCACAGTCCCCTCCCTGTCCTGCTGCCCACACTGCTTTGGATGCAGCCCAGGATCCTTTGGCTTTCTGGGCTGCAAGCACACATTGCCAGGGTCACCGGCACTCCCAAGTCTTTCTCCCGAGGGACAGTCCCAATCCATTCCCCACACAAGCCTATTCTTGTTCCTGGCGCTGCCCCAACACATGCACAGGACCTTGTACTTGGCCCCACTGAACTTCATGAGTTTCACAGACCCACCTCTCAAGCCTGTCATGGTCCCTCTGGATGGCATCCCTTCCTTACAGGTTTAATTCTTCGTGGGCCTTAGCTTTCCTAACCTGAACCCTTATCCCTGCTTGGACAATCTCTGAACTCCTCCCAAGTTACCTGTTCTCTCTTCCACCCTCTGCATGGTAGACCTGTAAAACAGGACTTCAAAAGTCTACAATAAACAACCCAAATCCGGCTCCTTCAAGTTTCCAAGCATTAATGTGACCAGAACAAGGTGCTCCTAACAGCTGCATTCCAGCAACAGATGTTTACATAGACTGAATTCACAAACTCTTCCCTTGGACGCTTTACAGATCAAATGACAACTGTCTCCACAGCAATACTGGATGCACATATTTCTACCACCTTTTCCTTTGCCATTCACTCTCCTTCATTTCATTTAAAATACACATAATTCATCAATTAATTATTTGTTATTTACACCAAGCATAATTAATCAATGCTTGGTAACTGTGAAAACTACATAAAGTAGCAATATGAATTAATTTTAATTATTTTTTCAAATGACTGTTCAAATACTTACAAGGCCAAGTTTTCCAGCTTCATTTAAAATCTTATTCAAGTATCGCTTAAATATATAGAAGCTACGGCTCTCATGTGATTTGGCATTCCTCTTCTCACACTCTGCAATCTGCAATTGTGCAAAAGACACTTTTATTCACTTTATTCAAATGAGCTTCTTCACAGGAGAGAAAAAACCCCAAATGTACCAACACATTAAACTCAGGATTAATAGATGCACATTTCTTCAGTTTAGCAACGATTCCATGGTATGCCAGATAAAAAACATATGCAATTATTGAAAGTAGTACTTTTCCATGGGACTGGCCAGCACTGGAGATTTTACATCTCCTAGTAACATTTAAATCCTGATCTTAGTAAGGCTAGAAAGAAATGTAAACATCTGGAGCTCCTTACATTTTAAGTTTCCACCAGGAAAAAGAAGAGGGAGCTGCCAAAAATTCTGAGTAAGTTAAACAACACTAAAATGACACATATCCCATTGGGTACCCAAATGGCTGAGGGCAGTGAGGGTCCCAGTAGCCACACGAGCATCCCCACATCATGGGAGCGGGTCTGTCAGCAGCACCTGAGAGCTGCAGCTCTGCACATTGCCCTGATCTCTGTGCTCACAACCTACTCCTTAAAATCAAACAGGACAGAACAGCTTGAGAACAGCATCAGCTAATAGCACTACATCTTCACACTGTTGACACTGGACAGAAGCATACAACTCCTATTGATTTTATTACACTATAAAACACATCAGGAAACAGACCTTTGTAGGCAGGACAACTTGAAAATTAATTCAAGCCACTTCCAGTCTCTCCTCTGCCTAGAGGTTCCCCCTCCAGAAAGCATAAATTATGCCAGCAATGCACCTGTTTGGTACTATCCAGAAGAGCACCATCAAAAAGCACAAGCTATAAAACACTATTTTTAATATTCAGAAAATATATTTAATATTCAGAAAATATTCTGAAGAACAAACCTTGTGTTGCAAGGAATCTATTACCCCAGAACAATGAAAGATTTCAGTATTGACTGTATCCCCAGACTTTTCCTCAGAGTCAGGATAGTTTGGCTAAAATTACAGAAGAAAAACATGTTTTTAGAATCCAAGAATTTGACCAACATGTCCCATTACACTTCTACAGTCACAACACTTTAGAAGAAGCAAAGGAGCTAAACCTGAGTACAGATCTTTGCTGCTAATACTCTTCCCATGACACTCCAGCTACCTCTCTGCTGTTATTTTAGGCTCCAGGTGGACAATTGCTTTGAGTTTATCTAAATGCACCCTGCCTTCAAAAGGTGCAGTCTTGCCTGTCCTCCCCCACTTGCCCTTTCCCCTCCTTTGAGTGCTGGTGATCCACAGAGTGCATCAGATTAGATAATGGCACTGGCTAAAACTGACTCAGCAGACAAAGGGGCAGTTTTCAGCCAGGCAAATTCCCAGTCCAGCTGGCCACACCACCAGCCAGACTGCAAGAGAACACAAATCCCATTTTGGGCTGCCTGCCTTTCTCTACTCCAGAGCACTCTATGTTTTCTGTTCATTACTCAGACCCAGTCTGAGCAGTGCTTCTCCACAGCCAGGTGTGCACACTGAGGGAAGTCTCCAAGAGGAAGCACAACAGCACATCAATTGGTGAACTCATGCTGAAACAAAGTTTGGTTTTGAGGGTCTGAGCAGCCCACACAGCCTGGCCTCCTAAAAACTCTCTGCAGAGCAAAAAAGAAATCCTGAGAAGATGGACTAACACAAAGTAGTAACTTTTTTCCTTTAAGATGTAGTTCTGGTTTTGCCAGAGACAACAATAAAGCTACTACTTTTTCTATGAAAGCCAAAGCAGTTGGGCTCCAGACTTAAAGACTTCAAAAGCTTGCTGCTGGATCTTAAGGATGCTAATGACTGTCAGGTGGACTTGGAGAAGTTGAAGATTGATGAGGAAAGCTGTGGAGAGTAATAATGAACTCTGCATCTTTTAAGATTCAGATTTTTAGTTTTAATTCAAAATTTAAATTTAAGATTCAAAAGAACAGAAAATTATGTTCTGTAGTGTTTAAATAGTATTGCTCAAGACTATAAAACCAAACTTGAAAGCTGAATAATGGCAAAAATCAAGGGTGCCCTTACAACCACCCTCTGTTTTACAGTGCTATGTGTGCACATATGCACAAGATAACCCACATGCACCTCATGGTATTTAAGAGTCCGCTCCTCCTACAAGACAGAGACAATTCGTCTTGTAAGAACTAATTTTTTTCCTACTTCATCTTCTCTTCAACGTTAATGAATCATTAAAAGTACAGCACCCATCCCTATTCTGATCTTCCTTCTGAAAACTGAGGCCCAGCATTACAAAACACCATTAACTTTCACAACAGTCCCACAGGAGAAATGGGAAACTGGTTCCTATTGCTGGGAAACTGGTTAATTAAAATAAAATACAATAATTAACTTTAACTCCCCTAACTTTTATCAGTTAAGAATGTGATTTTCAAGATATTTAATGCTGTACTTCAGAAACTAGCAAGAGATACTTAACCCAGTACTTCTCAGAGCAGTAACCTATGGTGCCAAAACCTGCATAAATCAAGCACCACCTGTGAAAATACAAAAAGCCTGCTTGATATGACTTCATCTGAGTGCAATGAAAGCTCACCAAGGAATGGTCCTGAACTAATCACATTATTTTCTTCCCTTGCAATTTTAACCACAAAGACTCCTCTGTGCATGGATTCAGATACAACATAATAACCCATTAAAAACACAGTACTGCTATCATTATCTGTTGTTACCATTTAAAAGTAATCTTCCAACAGCATTTAGCTTTTTGGGAGAGACACACACCCTTTCTTTTTCTACCTTATAAGGTCTTCTCATTGTTCCTGATGCTGCATCATAATTGAGCATATCCGTGGGGTCAATCCATTCATCTTCTTGAAGTTTACAGCTCCCTGTCAGCATAACTGCACACAATACCAAAGGAAACAGCATCCTGTATCACTGAATGCAACAAGAAATTCAGGTATTTAGGCCAGGGTGTAACATGCTGTATGAAAAAAATAAAACAATCTAACATGAAAAAACTAAAAGTGGAGCTTTTTAAAAACTCAGTTCTCCATTAAGCAGGTTTAAATTCACCTCCATATTTTTTCCCAACAAAAATGCTGGCAATAATATGCACAATTAAACTGTATTATGTAAGTGGATCAATACCCTTGACTTTGTTATCAGCAGGTGTAGCGCAGAGTTCAGCATTGCTAAATGCGATAAAACGGTGCAGAACTCCAGCACGCTTCACCAAAAGGGCATTGTGTTAACAATAAAGCAAATTTTTCTGTCACAATTGGAAGAAGATTTGGCAGAAAACCTCCCATTGCATTTCAGCTGTTCCTCAGATACCAGAGGGGCTGGGGGTAGCTGTGCTTTGAATCTGAGGGATAGCCAATCCAGCACTAAAAAGGGAAGCACAGAGCCAGTGCAGCCTTGTCAGTGCAGCCACGTTCAGTAAGAACTACCACAATCACACATTCACAAACAGCATGACAGACACACTGTGAGTCTGGTCGTGTCCAACAAACTCTCCTGGCCAGACCACGGTCTGGAAACGTTCAACAACCCTCAAGTGCAAAACACTGTAATTTGCTGAGCAACAGAAACACTGGATTATCAATGATAAACATATTGCCTGTAGGAGCACATGAACACAAAACATATGAGCAATAAACTGACAAAAAAATACGTTACAGTGGAAGACGACTAAAAGTATATTATATCACAAACAGTGATATAATAAAAGTTTATTTAAATTTAATTAAAGTTTTATTTAATTTAAAGTAAAAAGACTAAAAGTATAGTATATCACAAACAAAAGCTGTCTCTCTGAATTTCCTGAGGGAGCACTCGGTACTTACCCAACAGGCATTCCTATGGGGGAGGAGAGAGGCACAGCCTGCCGACAGTCCCAGGATACAAAGGTGGAGTCTCCTCTGACCTCTGCGTCTCTTAACCTATATTTATATTGCTTTCTTTGAGGAAGGGTAAAAGGTAGAGTTTCAATTGATAACATTTCATATTTAGGTGCAGTTTGAATGATTTTACTCATACACGTAAAGCATACACACGTCTTACTTCATTAGCATACTTTGGGGTGTGGAAAGTGATATGTGTTTTTGAGTTAACGGAGCAACATTCATGTTTTGGTCACCTTTTGGGTCACTCCTTTGGCTTAGTTCCCCTTGGCCGCATTGTTTTTAAAAGGGCACGGCTGCAACACCTGCTGCCGCTCCAGCATCCTTTGTTCCCTCCCTGAGAGAGACACACCGCGCTCCCTCAGAAATCCTGCTCATAAAGGTGCAGCCAGCTGGTCCCTGAAGAACTACTGCCAACGCTAACATTCCGCCTTGCTGAACTTTGGTTTTCAGTATTTTTTCACAAAGGAGCGAGCACGACCGTCAGGCCCACCTTGGCCAGCCTTGCAGGGACATCTCTGCCCTGCCTGGCGCCACGGCCTGGTCCTTTCGGTGCGGCTCCGCCAGGCCCCAGGCCCCGCTCTGGCCCGGCCCAGGCCGGCACTGCCGCTCGAGCGCTGCAGGAGCCGACAGGGCCATAGAGAAGCGGCTCCGCACGCTTCTCCCACGCCTTCGCCGCCCTCACGTCGCACCTGACACCGCTCTCCGCCGAAACACGCAGCCCTCAGCCCCTCCCCGCTCCTCCTCGCCCCCACACCGCGCAGGCCCCGGACAGCGGAGCCCGCCCCGCTCGCGGTACCTGAGGGGCCGCGGGACTCCCGGCGTTCACCCGGAGTGTTTACCCGGTGTGGGGCCGCCCCGGCAGCCGCTCCGCCAGGCGCCTCCGCTGCCCGGCCCGCGGGAGGCCGCTCGGCCCGGGAAGCTCCGCGGAGCAGCGGCCGCAGAGCCGGCCCCGCCCCGCCGCGAGCGGCCGCTGTCCCCGGCACAGCCAGAGCCGGAGCGCCGCTGAACGCAAGCTCCAACACTACAGGCGGGGTGAGAAATGATGCATGTAAAACCAGATCCGCCCTGTAAGGACACAACTTGGAATAAAATTAATGCCAGGCAATCACTGAATAATTTAAAATAGATTGCCAGCTTTGGCCACAGAGAGACAACTAGAGAAACCCTATTCTCCTGCAAAGTAGCTTCGTATAGGCATCATTGTATCAGACATACATATTATTGTCTACGTATCGAATAAAGAAAAAATATTTTCAGCTCTATGCCACTGTATTATTACTTACTGCACTGAAATTTCTGATATTTGGAAGCAGTATCAAAGCTCTTAAGTATTTTATAGTTCTGGCATTCTTAAATCATCGGCTGAACTGTTGTATCACAGTTGGATTGAGGCATTATAAACCAAGAATTAAAAATAACAGAGAAAACGGGTGCAGGTGTTGGAGGTCTTTATTGAGATTATAGCACAGATACACTTCTATAATTACCTTTCCACTTTTATACGATAGTTAAAAATGCTTGCTACAGTGCACATATAATTTAGTAACCAAGAGAATCCAAAATCTAAATGCAGTTCAAATAAATAAATAACCTAAAGTTAAGGTTTATATTTTAAAAAGTAAAAGGAACTGTACAATATGAAAATATAACAATACATGAACATTAGAATCTAAAGTTTTGTAGAAATAAAACTGCAATTTCCCATACATAAACAGTGCAAGAAATGAAATTCAGATAAGCTTCTGAATTGTGAATTTAAACAATTCTTAAATTACCATGCAGACATAGCATTTTAAGCCATGCTGGTTTCTATTACAGCATTAATGGTATCCCTTTTACTTGAAAAATTGATAGCCATTAAGCTCACTGTGACAACTGCTGCCAATCCACTCTTTTCTACAGTACATTATACACAGAGGTATTCTGTTGCATTCAAAAAGTAAAATATTACATGTTTCTACTGAAAAAGTCAATATTTTACTTTTCCCCCCTCCAACATGTTAGCTGGTTCAAAACAATGTCATGTAGTAAAAACAGCAACATTTTTCCCCAGGTTAGATGAAAAAAAAGAAAATCCCCCACTATATAATGGACCATAATCAAGAAGTGGTTACTACCTAGCCAACCTTTAAAGTTCAGATTTATTTTTACTAAAAACGTTGAAACTGTGGAGATGTTATAAAGTTTGAGCTCTTGTTTAAAAGTGATGAATACAATAAACCTGAAAAAACAGTGGAAGTAGTTTTTCTTTTATGTGTTAAACTAGTTACATACAGACCTGATTAAAGTGTTCCTCATCTTAAGTTTCTATACAAAATTCTCATTGAGGCAAAGAACAAGGAATGCAATTAATACCAAACTGTAAACACATCATTCATGTTACTGAGTGCACATCAACAACAGAAGAGTTCTCCTCATAGACTTTGGCAACAAGACTACAATAGGTCACAGCAGCATGAGTTCAACATGGAAGACTGGAAGCACTGCAAAAGAATATACTAAAAACACCAAGACCTCCTAGAAACCAGAAAAATCAGTGACAATTGCCTCTCTCTCCTCTTGATAAGACACTCTCCTGCTCAACTGCTGCTCTCTCAAAGCCGCATTATTATTACTTGTTTTGACAATTCTGTAGTCTCAGGTCTCTGTGCTTTAGCTGCATAGTTGCCTTTGTTTGCACTCTAACCATTGTAGGTCCAAAGGGTTACAGTTCTGTCTGCAGAAGATGACAAGAAGGAAAGATCTTGCGTGTGCCACCTGCACTGAATAACTTTGTCCTTGTGCTCCCCTACCACCATCAGAGGAAGCTGCTTTGTCAGGTCCCCTGTGGAAAGGAACAGAAATCATCACTTATTTCAGGAATCCATATCCCAGCTCTTGAGTGGAGGGGTTTTTAATCTGTTTGCTTACTTAAAGCTTACATCTATATTTCACTTTATAAAGTATACCTGACCCCCCTTTCTCTCTCACACAGAATAAAAATGAGAATTACTATATTTTTTTAGGGCTTTGTTTAAGGGTCAATTTTATGAATGCTGTCTGAAAGCAATGGCCATCTCATCAGGCAAGAATGTTAATCAGTGGTTTTACTGTAATGTGACCCTCACTCCAAAACAAGATTCAGTTCTTACTGAATCTTACAGCTTACACTTTAAGCACCACAACTAGCCAATTTCCACCAGACACAATCATATATATACACATCCAACCTTTGAAAGCTCTACTATTTTTTTCCCCTTTTAAAGTAAAACCTAATCCTTGAGCCAAGTTCTCAACGCCAACAAAACCCCAATCACAGAATAGGAATCACAGAATCACTAGGTTGGAAGAGACCTCTAAGATCATCAAGTCCAACCCAGCCCTTCCTCCCACAGGAAGTCAGCCTGTGACCCTTTACTTGTGTTACCTTGCAGGTCTGTCACCTTGATCTTCATGTCATAGGAACCGGTGAGCAGGTAGTGTGCACCTGGGGAGAAGCGCACGGAGCGCACGTCGCTGGCATGGGGGTGGTAGCTCTGCACCATGCGGCCCCCACGGATGTCATACAGCATGCAGCTGGAGTCCTCCTGGCCCGTGGCCAGAAGCCTGCCACTGGGATCCACTGCCACTGAGGCTACAGCACTCCCTGCAGGACCACAGAAACCCCAACAATCCCACAGCAGCGTTAGCTGCATTTTTGCAAATAGCCAACTTGTTTGGTTGTTTTTTGTTTTGTTTTGTTTTTACACACAAACATGCATTGTGAAAGAACACCGAGAGCTGGCCTCAAATTTAAGGTGAGCATACCCAGCTTAGAATAAAAAAAGTCTTTATGTTTGTTTGTCTGCACTAAAACCTCTGAAGCTGTCACACTTGAATCATAGCAAAGACATTATTAAAGCTGCATGAAGTATCTGTTCCATCACAGGAAAGTCACTCTTGTGAAGTAATGTGGAATACTGCAAAGAATTCACCCTGGCCCTAATGTTTCAAGGACTTCAGTTTGGTTGCTGTATTTGAACACACTTAGAAGTGTCTGTTTGAAAGTCATAAGGCAAAAGCACTACCTATCTTCTGAAAGGAAATACTTTAGGAACAAACAAATGAACCAGCCCCAAAGGCATAGATATCCTCTCAGGTTCTTCCTTTAAGCCAAGCCACCCTTCTAAGCAAGAACCTCCCCTTACATTCACTCTATACTATCTGGACATCTTCAAAGTCTATTTTCATGGCACAATGATTAGAAGCATAATCGCAAGTCTTGCCTGTTCCATGAAACGTTGTTCCCACAACACGAACACAGCTTGGCACTCTCAAATCCCAAAATCTTACAGTCTTGTCTTGGGATCCAGATGCAATCATCCAGCCACTCCACGTATAAAGTGCTAAAATATGTCCTGTGAACAAGAAGAATTCTTAATTTGATTAAGCGCCATTAACCCAACACTGAAATATTACAGTTGGGATTATTTTTTGCATTCAGAGACTTAATAATCCCATGGAAAACCCGCATGTTGAGTGATCCAGTGCACCAGTATATGGCAATACCCAGCTCGCTGTTTTCTCTGGAATGAGGTGTGCACTGTCTCCATTTAGATTAAAAGCAAACATTTAACAACAAACACTGTCCACCTCCCTTCAAAATATCTCTAGAGCAATTGGGAGAGGGGAAAAAGAAAAAAAGCCTTGCTAAAAAGAAAAACACAATGACTTTAAACCAAACCAGCCCAAGAACTTTATTAGAATATAACACAAAGTTAGAAAGTGTGACAGAAGCCACGCTGTACCTACCAGTGTGACCACTTAGGGCATGCAGGCCTTGTCCACGCTGACAATCTGTTGTGTAAATATTACAGTCCCCTGCTCCAGCACTTATTAAAATAGCACCACCACTTTCCGGGCCTTCCATAAAAGCCAGGTCTCTGATTGTCCCATCGTGCATGCTGAATTCCAAATCTGGTCCTAAAATAATTTAAAAATAAAGGAAAAAAAGATAATATATACTTTCTTTGTTAGTGTTGTGCTCCATAATGTGCCTAAAGAGATAATACAGAGTATTTTAGGCAAGGGTGAACATGGCACCAAGTACAAATATGGCTGTGCACTTCAGCACAGAACACACTATTTCAGTTACTCCAGTTTAAACAGAATCTCTAAGAATCTTGGGTTTGAGTGTTGCTTGAGCTTCCTACTTCCTAAAGCTTTGGAAAATGTACATAGACCACCACCACTGCCAAATGCAGTCATGGTTTCTTAGAGAGTACACTTATTTCTTTTTGTAAACTGGTGAACTCAAAAGGTTCTCTTTGCCAGGAGGAAAAAAAATCATTGAGAGTACTGAACTACGAAGGACAAGGCAGCCTAAGCTCAAACCAGAAAAGATGAGACCCACATTCAACATATTGGTTAGGAGGGGTGGGCATGGAAAGTAGTAATTGCTGGGACAGAAAACTTTTTATGATGGGTGAGAAGAAAGAACTAGGCAAGAGAAAAGGGAACTAGAAGTGAAAATAAATTCTTAGTGACAACCAAGCTCTAGAAGTGGGTAAGAACATCTGGTTGTTTTACTGTATATGGGGAGGAATTCGCCAGAAGATAGAATACCAGAGTCTTGCAAAATGAAACGAAAACACAGCCACCCAACCCAAACAAGACCCTAAAGAACATTTTAAACCACACAGTGGGTCTTTGCAGGACAGAGACCACAGTGATAGTAAAAGGGAAAAGAGACTGAATTAAAATATCGGAATAAAACGTCAGTGTAAACTGAATGGTTTTGACAAATACTGGACAGTAACTGAAAATAAATTCTTTGAAATAAATATACACACATTACCTGTTGCATTACAAGTTTCTGCATTAAAAGGCAGCACTTTCACATATTTATCATTAGAACCAGTAGCTAACAGCTGTCCACAGG